AGAGCTGGCCAAGGACGGACCGGCAGACAGTCACAGAGCTGGCCAAGGACGGACCGGCAGACAGTCACAGAGCTGGCCAAGGACGGACCGGCAGAGTAGTCTCTTCATGCTCCTTCATAAATCATGGGGAGGTCAAAGTCAGGGTAACACCATTTGCTCACAAAGTGCTTTAAAAAGTGAAAACTTTGGGTCTAAATAGTAAATTTGTTGTTAGGTGCCGCTGAGTCGATTCTGACTCATGGCGACCCCGTGTGACAGAGCAGAACTGCCCCATAGGGTTTCCTCGGCTGTGATCTTTACAGGAGCAGGTCGCCAGGTCTTTCTCCCGTGGAGCCGCAGAGTAGGTGTGAACCATCCCCCTTTCGATTGGCAGCCGAGCACTTAACCGTTGTGCCACCAGGGCTCCGTAATACATGACGGTGCTGTTTTTGCTGTTGGGTACCATGGAGTCGATTCTGACTCATACTGACCCCATGTGATAGAGTGGAACTGTTCCCTAGGGTTTTCTAGGCTGTTATCTTTGCGGAAGGAGTCCTGGTGGGTGCAGTGGTTAAGCACTTGGCTGCTAACCAAAAGCTCAGCAGTTTGCACCCCCCAGGAGAAAGATTTGCAGCCTTGGAAACCCTGTGAGTCGGACTCTGATACACAAGCGGGTGCCGTGAGTCTGAATCAACTCGACAGCAACTAGTGTATCTCTTCCAGACATGAGACACTCGGCTTCCTCCTCCTCACTTGCCAATTCCAGATTTGGAAAAAGACACGGAGCAAGAATCAGGAGACTGTACTACTAATAGGCTTCATCACCTCAGATAAGTCACTTAAATTCTCTGTCTCAGTTTCTCCATTTGTCAAATGCTAAAACTATTTGACTCACCCATGTCACAATTTGTTTTGAAGCAATATACATATATATATATATAACATATATCCATATAGGTTCTGTGTGAAAATCCTTTCCAAACCCTTCTGAAAAGTCTATACACACAAGAGATTAGTTTACACTTTCCACCTCTTAGTATTCATCAGGTGGAGACTGGCTACTTAGAAGCAGTTAGAAGATTCTCACTGCCAGAAGCTTGTCCGTTACCTGGGCAATGAACTGGATGATTTTCACAAAGATGTTCAGAGGCATATCTCTTGGTACCACACCGCGGGACCCTTTGGGGAAAAGTGTTGTGACGATGGTTATAAGTCGGCTGAAAGATAAGGGGAGAAAAAAGAAAACAACAAGCAAGATTGGCTAAGCTCCAGCTGTTAAGTGAAAATGGCAGATGTTCCATCTTATCTAAGGATCAGAGAGGATTCAGAAAGAGGAACAAACCGCCTCACCCCTTCCCATTAGCATAATTACTCTATGAAGGTTTTCTCTAGAAAACCAAGGGCTGTTGGAAAATTACAGGCAGTCTCCCGGCTAACAACAGGGTTCTCTTCTGATGACTCCACTGTAAGTCAGCTCTAAGTCGAAAACCTCTCTCTCTCTCTCTTTTTTTAAGTTTTCATTATCATTGCCTTTTGTTATCAGTATCTTTATAAATCCGATATTTATTTCTCTTAGGTGGTTGGAAACATTACATATAAACTTACAGATACACTTTTACATTGTCTGTAGCACATATTACTAATGTAGAATGTACAAAACAAAAAACAAAAACGAAACAGAAGGTCCTAAGTGTGGTCGGTCGTAACTCGAACGTGCTGTGAGGCGGGAATACGTTGTGTAGCCGTTTTGTTTGTTAAAGTTGGGAACTCAGCCCTAGTTTGGGAACGTGTCAGTCCTGGTAGAAGCTGCAGTTTCTGAAATGACTGAAGCCTGGAAAAGTACTCAGCACTTAGGGCTTTCCGGAACTGTCATTTCTGAAGCTCTTCCAGCTGGGTTAGCATAGGTAGCAATAAAGAAAACACCTTCTGAGGTGGCTGGGTAACGAGGTCACCAGGGACCCCAGCCAGCTCCTTACCTCTGAGTGGCTGTGTTGCTCTCACATTTGATGCGAATCATGTAAACCCAAAGCAGTCGGTACAGAGATTCCAAGGCAACTCGAGCCATCTTGGGGTCTTTATTCTACAACAGAAACCGAGATGTCAAGTCGCCACTTATATGGTGACATATGGAGATGATTCTTCTCTGACTCCCCTGCTCAGGGATAAATGTCTTATTTATCCCTGAAATCTATTAGAATTCCTGGCCCTGGTGGCGCAGTGATTAAGTGTTTGGCTGCTTACCAGAAGGTCGGTAGTTTGAACTCACCAGTGGCTCCATGAGAGAAAGGCCTGGCAATTTGCTTCTATAAAGATTACAGCCTAGGAAATCCTATGGGGCAGTTCTACTCTGTCTTATAGGGTCACTATGAGTTGGAATCGACTTGACGGCGAGGGGGTACAGAGGATCAATAAACGTTTTCAGAACAGTCTTTAAATGCCAGTCTCCTCTTCCTTATACGTCCTGGGCCTTTATATCGCTCTCTTCCCCCGTTTCTGTTGTTGTTAATTGCCACGGAGTCAATCTGGACTCATAGGGACCCTGTGTGACAGAGTAGAACTGCCCCCATAGGGTTTCCTAGGCTGAAATCTTTATGGGAGCAGACAGCCAAGTCTTCCTCCCTCTGAGCTGGTGGGTGGGTTTGAACCGCCAACCTCTCGGTTAGTAGACAAATGCTTAACCGTTGCTCCACCAGGGCTCGTTGATAAGAAGCTAGAACATAATTCTTCATAAGAAACTGCTGTTGTTGTTGTTAGGTGCCGTCGAGTTGGTTCCGACTCACAGTGACCCCATGTACAACAGAACGAAACACAGCCCGGTCCTGCACCATCCTCACGATCGTTATGCTTGAGCCCATTGTTGCAGCCACTGTGTGCAACATAATTATTAGGAGCACTTAGTAAATATTAAATTTTAAAAGAACTAGTAAAATCAAATTCTCAAAGCATATTTCCTTGTTCAGAATTAGGCGGTGCATAGCAGATGTGAAGGGGATGTTATCATTGTTCATACAGCTCAGTATGTTCAGATCCCGGCAT